CATGAAATTAATATCTATATATTTTATACTATACTGCTTACCGTTTTCATACTTTATATATCTTAGCATATTCATACACACTGTTCATGCTGCTCACAGGCTGATATCTAGTGTATTCATACCCCTCACTGTTTATTCATCATTCAATTCATTTTTATTCTGTAGGTTGTGTACATTACTTTTCACTTTACTGCTTGTTGCACCTGGTTAGAAGCTAAAGTGCATTTCGTTGTCTCAGTACCTGTAATATGGGCAATAACAATAAAGTTGAATCTAATCTTGAGCAGGAACAAATGTATTTACTTAGTACATATCTGCAGGGCCGCCCCTGGCCAACTTGGGGCCCCAAGCGACATTGTGAGATGAGGCCCCCCCCCCCAACCGACAGGAGTGAAACACATTTTTTTGGAAACAAAGTAGGCTACTTATATAAATATAATTCCTGTTTATTATTAGTATCAACACAGTTACTTTTGTATACAGTGAGGTAAATGGTAAATGTGCATGTACGTCTGCATTTCCTGCCAAATACTAGCCTCAAAAAGATTAAAATATAATGAATGCAAATAAACTACTTCTACTAATAATAATAATCATAATCAATTCAATAATATAAATACTATATTATTTTATTATAATTTAGTTGTAATATAGTCAAGACAAAACATGCTTATGACATGCTCAAAAACTGATATTTCTTAAATCTGTATTCTAGTTCTCTCTGTCAGCAATGTATCAACAACTATACACACATTTCTATCAGTATTTCTCTGTGTTGTGGTTGACATGATGATGACTGTTAGGAGTTAAGGGGAGAGGCTGAGCATCACCATGAAATGTGCAAATTGACATAAAAATGAATAAAAGGGGAAACAATGCTCCATGTTTTTTAGGCTGTAAACTTTAACTGTTATTTAAGGCAACTAGACAGACAGTGTATCACTCTTCCTCCTGTATACATTAGCAGATAAAAGGCATAACATACTTGAATAAATGTTAAATAAAGAATGCTGGAAATAACTGCATCTCCATTAGCCTATATGCTCTGCAGAGACTGCCTTCTTCATGTCGTGAATTGCAGCTGATGTTTTAATATGGCAATTGGCAATTTGACTTATACAACATTCGCAAGTTGTACATTTGACTCATACAATAACCCACCTTCGAGTGATGCTCTAGTTTCTTCATGTTTTGTTTTTATCCCCTCTTCCTTGTGCCGGACTGAAACTGTCTTTTCACCGACATCTCTTCACCTGCACTAGTGGCCGTATCAAAGCCGTGATTGGTCAGATGTCAATTCATCAAAACGGTGTCGGGTTACAGACGTGCTCCCCTTCTTACGGAGCCCCCTAGGGGACATGGAGAAGAAAAAAAAATGTATTTGAAAAAAAATAAAAATAAAATGTTTTGCGAGATATCGCAAAACCTTTGCGAGGTCTCGCAATACTTTTGCGAGATATCGCAAAACCTTTGCGAGATATCGCAAAACCCCTTTGCGAGATCTCGCAATACTTTTGCGAGATCTCGCAAAACCCCGTTGCAGTTTGTAGACGGTCCCTAAGCACTCCTCTCCCTCCTCCAGCTGCGGATTGTGACAAATTATTGATGTTTAGCTCGGATGACGGCGCGTATCGAACTGTTCTGATAAAAACGACTCTGTAGCTCGTTGTCTACCTTGCTATGATTGTAAAGTCATGTTGTTTGTATTTTTACAACGTTATGTTCATGAGTTATTGATCCGCGAAATTCGAATCTGTCAATAACTCAGCTCAGAGGAACGTGCATGTCCCCTCGCTCTGAGTGTTTTCTTGAGGTGTCTTCACTTATGTGAAACCCTTTATATATACAGTCTATGTGTGAAACCTGTGCCTATTGCCAAGCACTGATGTTATATCTTTATATTTAAGGCCAAGCTCAAAGTAAAATCGATGAACCACTCCATTGTTGTGGTTTCTGTGTTGCCGTAGCAGCCGAACTGACCAGGAAGTACTAAATGAAAAGTATTGCGAGATCTCGCAAAGGGGTTTTGCGAGATCTCGCAAAAGTATTGCGAGATCGTGCGCGGAGAACTGAGCGGAGAACTGCGCACAGCAGCTGAGGCCCTCTGGGCGGGGCCCCCTGCGCAAGGCGGGGCCCCATGCAGCCTGCGTGATTGGCCTGTAGGGAGGGGCGGCCCTGCATATCTGACATTAACGATTAAACACATGTGTGCATTCTTTATAAATGCAAACCGAGTCAAGCCGACTCCGGAGGTGGCGGTATGCACCTTAAAGTTGTTTGCAATCCGCCAAAAAACCGAGAGAAGAAGAAGAAGAAGACCTAGCCGACTCCGAGCTGTCCGACTTCAGGTGAGCTTTTTGAGACCTCCCCCGGCTGCGATCGGCTATTCTCGTCTACTTTCGAGGCGAGCCGCAACGCGTCTCAAACAAGCCTATTGATACCGTACATGGCAGATTAAAAACGAATTGCAAATGTTATTGTAGCATTTTAAGCAAATCAATTAACCTAGTCTATCCGTTTGAGACACAACAGTATATGACTTTCAGCACAAATCATTTTGTCTAATTAATAAATTAAAACAAAAAGGTGGCTTAGTAAACTTTATTTTAATTGTTTAGTATATAAAATAGGTATTAATGAGATCATCTATTAATTATGTTTGTCTAACTGCTACACATGTATTTATAAATGTAGATATTTATGAACATCTAAATATCATTGTTAAAGATTTTAAGATATAAATAATCACATCATGGGGTCATTAAAGTTTCAAACAGGTTCATGTAAGGTAGGCCTACTATGAACACATGATTTAAAAAACGAATTTCTGAATCTCACATTAGCCTGTAGTTTGGTATGTTCTTTGAACATCAGATTAAGGGTCATTCCAGAATTGGAGGACATTTCATGTCCCCCATATAAGAAATCTAATAATCCATGCCCAAAATGCTAAAACATGCACTTGTTGTGTTAAACATACTTGTATTGAGACAAAATGTATATAAAGTTGTAGAAAAAGTGGTTTCAAAATATTATTTAAATTATCAAATAGCTCTCGAACATACTCTAAAATGGCATTTTTCTCTTGTCGCCGCTTCTTGGTGACAAAATTACTAATTTTGCACAGAAGGTGTGTCCCTCAACATGTGTTCAACCCTGTTACCCAAACCTTTTTAGATTGGCAGAGGAAGTGAAAAAACTGTAAATCTGATGACACAGTGGAAGTGACATCAGCAAGCCATGTGCTAGTGCCATGGGTAGACCAAAACTAAGTCCTCTCTTTTATTTTTCATATTTTTACAATCTTTTCAGTCTTAAAAGAGTGTGGCAGAGTGTGTGTGTGGCATGAGCGCATTTTGTGAGTGCGCGAGCGGTAACGTGGAATGTTGTTGTTAGCATCTGGTTAGCTAGCTATGCTAACGGATATAAAGAGCTGTTTCTACACCAAGGTGGAGGAGAGTCCTCTCCTGTCAGACTGAGAGGATCTTATAATGTCAGCTCAGTGAGGTAAGGACTCTCTCTCAGTGTTTAGATAGTTAACTTTAGTGTAAGTTATCTCAGTGGGTCTCAAACGGTTTGGTCACCATTTATCACACAATTATTTGTGAGGAATACCTTTATATGATCATTATAATTATTAAAAAATAAGAGAATAAAGGAAAAACGGGTATGAAATACTATAGGACAGTAACACAAGAATAGAGTTTAAAAGGGGAGTGATTAGTAAAGAAAAAGTACATCTGTTTACAGTTCTGTTTCATATGGGTGTTGAGAGATGTAGGCTATCCATAGATCTCTTCATTTTGCTCTCAAAGTGCACCAGATTGATGCATTTAACTTAAATATTTTAAAAATAATCTTCCCGGGGGAGCATGCCCCCGGACCCTCCTAGAGGAGGTTAGGTCCACCCCCACCTAAAACATGTTCACATGGATAGGATACTAAATACATTTGCACACTTTTTGTATGGTGGCTTATGTCCATATGTTTCTGTTTTGGTGGTCGTGTCACAACCGTGCATGTATGCACAAGTCATAGGTGCACTATACAATAGCACTACACCCCTGCAATGTGTGTGAAAGACAATAGACTTTACAGCATGTTTTTTGAAGTTGCATTGGTGTTTGTGTATTGGTTGTTGACGGCAGTGTGTGCCCCCCCTTGGTAAATTATTGCCCCCCCATTCGATTTGTTCTAGAGCCGACCCTGCTTAGCCAAAGTTGTGAGAATGTTCCCCGCTAGCTGAGATGGCAGTTATTTATTTTTTATAGAACATGCTTATTGTTTATTATGTTATAAAGAAGTAAAAGTACAGTATGCAAATACAATATATGTACCACACGAATAAAGACAATTAGTTCATTCAGTTTGCTCTGTCTATTGCATTCCAAACAAAGTAGAAAAAAAGCCCTTGCATCATGAAAACCTCTCGCTGCATTTGTATGAACCCTGGAGAAGTAAAGGCACTGAACGGGTTAATTAGTTCACAAGCTCTTGCGCAACAGACACACTGCTGTTTAAATTTAAGATCCTCAGCAGAAAGCCGGAGGAAGTCAGGATGATTGTTGCTCCGCCGCCGAAAGATACATTTCATCCTTCTGAATGTGTTGCCTATTAACAAAGTTTTTTCTAGTCAATAACTGTGGTTAAACTGCCAGACATCAGGACTCAGTGTTCCCTCAGCTGTAAATCAGCTGGATCCATCATCGCCCGGATGAGCCTGCAGTAAAAGGTGGGGCTGATTCATCATGTCCATGTGTGTTCTCTCTATCTGGTATTTTACTGACTGTAGATCTTCCCTAATTGCACACTAAAGATATCCCATGATAATGTTTATATGATGCGGTAATTGTGATTTAGTAGTAAATCAGCGGGACTCCATGCATGTAGTTTCACCACGAGTGCTAACACTTTTATGAGTCACATTAAAAAAAAAAAGGTTTTCACACTCTTCAACCATCAATATCCAAACTTTTTTTATCAAATCCAAACAGATCATCATGTCAAGCTCCACTGACACGCTACGGTTTTGCTTCCCCACGCACGGTGACTCTATCCTCAGCAAAATCAACTCTCTAAGAGAGGAGCAGCGCTTCTGTGACATCACACTCCTCCTTGGTCGTCCACAAGGCTCCACTGTCCCACTCCACTTCCACGGTCACAGAGCGGTGCTGGCTGCCTCCTCAAACTTCTTACGTGACCAATTCCTGCTCCACGAAGGCCGGGAACTGAGTTTGGGTGTAGTGTCCAGTGTGGAGGTTGGCAAGAGACTTCTCCTGTCCTGCTACACCGGGCTATTAGAGGTGCAATATAATCTACTGAACTACATACTAAATACAGTGTCAGAATGAACAAAATCAAGAGTAACAATACCAAAATGGAAATAAGAAACAAACATATTGACAACAACCAAAGAGTGGTTGTGAATGTTTGTGATATGAAAGTAAAAGATGAATAAGATGACTTAGTATTGCAGTTCTGTTTTTCTTCAGTATTACTTTACTGTTTCCTTTGTTTCTATCAAATATCTCTTACTTTAGGTCCCTGTGAGAGAGCTGGTGAGCTACCTGACTGCTGCCAGTGTGCTCCAGATGAGCCAGGTGGTGGAGAAATGCTCCCAGGCCATCTCCCAGTACCTCAGTCCCACCCTGGCTTTCTTGGAACTGGAGAGACGCACAGAGGAGAAAGAAATCCAGCTGCAAGACAGTGATTTGCCAATTACCAGCTTTAAAAATCAAGATGAAAGAGACGCTGCAGAGGACGGATGGGCGTCTGTGATTCGGTTAAAGCCAAGGTCAGGTCAAGGGCTGAGGGAGGTCGGAGAGGAAAGGGTGGTCACAGCAAAACTAGAGTTATCTGAAAATGCAACATGCTGTATTAATACCCATGAGTCTGAGAAAGGTGGAGACATTCAGCCTGTTTACTCAAACAAGCCCTCCTATCAAAATCACCAGGTTACAAGTGCAATAACATATAAGATATCTCCTCCTACAACTGTTCAAAGTCAAACATCATCCACATCTGGAGAAAGTTCCACTAAAAAGGAAGAATTTGTTGACACTTCCCCAAACCAAGGCGAAGCAGCAGAGGGAGATGAAAGAGAAGAGGGGGAAATGTTTTTGCTGGCAGCTCAACTGCAAGAATGTGGAGAGCCGAGGGACTCTGGAGCACATCTGCCAAAGGGTCAATGTTCGGAAGACGAGCTAACAGAAGATTCAGACAGCGTTCTGATCCAGAGGCCGTACCTGTGCAGGAGGTGTGACCGAGTCTTCCAGCACCTGGAGAGCTACGTGGTGCACCTGAAGGAGCACAAACAGTACTGGTGTTTGGTGTGTGGGAAGGGCTTTTCCCAGAGGAGTAATCTGACCCGGCACATACGCGTTCACACCGGGGTCAAGCCATTTCGATGCCCCCTGTGTCACAAGACATTCTCCCAAAGGGCCACGTTGCAAGACCACCTCAATCTGCACACAGGGGATAAGCCCCATAAGTGTAGATACTGTGCTGTGCACTTTGCTCACAAACCAGGCCTCAGGCGCCACCTGAAGGACATCCATGGTAAGAGTAGCCTGCAAAACATGCTTGAGGAGGCCATGGGCTGTTGAAAAAGGAACAGTGTTAGCACAAATTGAGTTAGTATGGTCTTTATAGTGGTTTTGAGTCCATATATATTTGTCAAACAGGGTGCCAAAAGCACAATCAGCCATATGATACAGATTATCCTGACTCCGGATATTAAAGATAATATTTAAAATGTCAATATATATTTTAGTTGAGATAATCTTGCCATTGTCTTCAATCCCACTGACTGCAATATAGCATTTGGACTTTTGAAGATTAGTTTTTATGAAATGTGGTTGTAGTTCTGTTCTTTCAATTGCAAGTTTGGCACTTCATAATTTTCTTTCAAATTAAAATCATAATTATCATCAGGCTGATGAAAAGCAGTGAGGGTCCTTACAGTATGTGCCCTCTGCAGTGTGTTTGATCTCTGCCGGTACAAATCATTAAATTAAGTCAATCAGCATGCAATCTAAAAACGTCATTAGGCTTAATCATCTGCCATGTATAATGGCCAATGCAATCTCATCCGCATGTTCAATCTTTCCAGCACCTTTATAGTGCTCCTCTATCCCATCTTCAAAAAACAATTATGCCTTATGAAGAAGATAAGCATGAATTAACTATGTAAGCTATAGGAGAGATAATATTATGACTGAAAATGTAATTACAGTGAACACTTATGCATAAAGTCTGGAGATAACGGTTCACTTAATAGAATACATTAAAAACATTTAATCCTTTTGAAAGACTATTATGCTGTTTTTTTGTTGTTGATGGAATTAACACTGAATTCTGCCTGTTTCAAATTGAGGCTAGGTTTCACAGACAGCCATTGGTTCTCCATTTGACCCGACTGAAATTCATCACAGATCGCTGAGCATTAAGTGAGTGGTTTCTCCCGCATGGCAGAGAGGGTTTCCATGCTCTCTCGCTCCATTCTTTCCCTTCGCAGCTCTCTCTTTCTCCTTTGGCCCAGATATGTAGTCGTCACTCATCTCAGTGAATGGAACAGTTTCCCTTCCTCGGGCATCCGAGGCGCTGCTGGCTTGAAAGTGTGAGTATGGACGTAGACAAATGATTAATGCATGGTGGGGTGTGTATTCAATGCAGAAAGTAATGACTCTTTGTGTGTGTGACTAAGCAAGAGACAATACAGAAATAAAGACAAAAATATACCAAAGCATGTGTTTCCCCTTGCATTAAAATATAGCTTCCTCAGAACAAACTACAGTCAACCAACTTCCTCAAATGTAGACATTTACCATTTTTTTATTTTAGGAAATGTCATCAAAGTGGAATTAACCAGACAAAGTACTTAATTTGCACACACAGTCTCACTGTGGAATTTGGGGCACCTCCATTATGAATGAATGACAAAGGTATAAAATAGCAGTGGTAGATACAGAGACAGGGATGAAAAGAGGTATACAAGTGGTAAGGATATTGAAAAGAACCATTTTCTGGTGAATATATATGCATGTCCATTTGCACTGAAATATCATGGAATTATTTATTTGGTAAATAAAGCTTACAATATTTCAGTCACATTCATTTTTTTACTTTTCACAAGCTGAAAAGCACAATCAACCCGTGTTAATATTGAGATAATGAACCATCTAAAATCTTAAACCTAAGATATTGTATTCATCCCAGAAACAAACATTTTGCGATATATTTGGTCAAAAACTAAAGTATCATATAGATTTAAATATTACCCTGCTTTCTAACTACATACAATTCATTATTGGGGCACCTTTGGTGAGCATTTCATTCAACTGCAGACAAGATATTTCACTAAAAAAACACAAATGTCAAACTGCTGGTGGCACTAACGGAAAGATAGGGCATCATCATTTTGACAACTTGAATATCTGCCAAAACGTTCATGATAATCCATCCAAATTATATTTCAGTCCCAACATATGGACAGACAGATATTGACAATATGCCATTATTGTGGTTAAATATAAGCTAAGAATATAGCTAACTAGGTTGTAAGAGTGTAACACATCAAAGCTTAAGAAGTCGTCATGTTTACATATTTTATATTAAGCATATAAAGGAAATGACAGTGTGCAATCATTGACAAATAAGGTTTTGTTCACTTTGCTGTAAAAGAAGCTCATCACTCACTAAATGCATGTGGGGGAGTTTTGAAATCACTGTCATCTTTTCAATGAACAAACACTTCGAAGTTACTGCTTGCAGCTAGTTCCACTGATTATTGTATTTCCAGGAAGTTGTCATTTGACACAAACAAAAAGACAGCAATTGTTCTAATTCTGTATTGCACAGTGTCTCTAGTGTATTATAACCAGGCCCCTCAAGCTTTGTTACTGTGTTACTTTAAATATTGTATAATTAAAGGTGTTAAATATTCATTTGTGTTGCAGGATTATGTAAAAGTTTTCTGTCCTGCTGATCTAACTCCTTATATCACTGACAGCTCACTTACCCATCTGTTGTGAACAGCTCACTGAAGATCGTAAGTCGCATATAAATAAAGCAGGCTAATAAAGTATCACTGTTTAATTTACAGTAATCCAGACTCATTATGTAACTGAGTTTGGGCCTCCTGCAGTGCCAAATGCACTACTTGTTACCACGGAGACAGCCTGTTCAAATTTCACCAACTAACATTTTGAAGCCAACAGCTGTGCAAGCTACACAGCTAATGTAGCACATATAGCTTGCAAAGATGTATCATATATGGTAAATTACACAGAAATGATCACATTACTGATATCCATTGACACATTATGAGACCCCCTGCCCCTGGGCAGAGACATATAACAGACCCCCAACTATGTCTTCATGGAAACAGACAACCAAACTCAAAGACTCTACTTTAGGTTTTTGTGTGTCCCGTTGTTATTGTTTTGTATCTTTCTGGAGTTGTTTTCTGTTTCTTTGTGATTGGTTTGAATCCATTTGAAGTTGTTTTATGTCCCTTTGCTGTAATTTTGCATATCTGGGATTGTTTTAAATAGGCTATCATTAGTATAATTGTCTCTTTGTTATGGTTTTTTCTTGTTTTACTCATTAAGTGTCTCTTAATAGTGGTTTCCTTTCTATGTGGACGTTTTTTTGTCTATAGTTGTTTTGGGTCTTTTGTAATAGTGTTGTGTTTTGATTGTCGTTAAAAAATGCTGGGAAACCGAGGTCAAGCATGTTTTTTCTTCCACTTCTCCACTTCTCTAAACGCAGGGCAGCACTAAAGCGAGCGGGAACTTCTTGTATTTGTGTGTGTGTGTGTGTGTGTGTGTGTGTGTGTGTGTGTGTGTGTGTGTGTGTGTGTGTGTGTGTGTGTGTGTGTGTGTGTGTTTAACCATAGACTGTATAGGTTTGAACTTCCTCTTGACAGGCGCACTTGTCGAAGCGCATCCTCTGTTCCTTTAAAAGCAGACAGCCCACGCCTCGAAAAGCGGCTTGTTCCGGCTTGCCTGCCCCTTTACATCTTTTTATCCTTGCTCACAATATTAAAATAGTGCCCCCACGCAACTCTATCGAACATTTTACTCCAAAGCATTTTTGTTAAACTGTCGGAGTGAACATAACCGTGTCTCAGGCAGAGTATGCAGGATGCGTGTGCAGCAGGTCTCCGCCTGTGCAGCCCGGCGGTGAGGCTGAGGCGCAGTTCAGGCACCATCACCGGCGGAGCGATACCACCATCTCCTCTCAGCCCCGGTTCATCAGACGGAGAGAGTGAGGCTCACTGTACCTGAGAGAACCGTCATGTACCATCGAAAGGGGGTCAGAGGATAGACCAAGGCAAGGCAGCTAATGCTTTGAGACGCAGAGGCATTTCGCTTCAACGTTAAGAATTATCTCCCTGCTGCTGGCTTCTAACAACTGATACAACATTTTTTTTGTATTCTGATGCGCTTCTGTGGATGAATATGTGTATTCTGGTGCTGTGGTGTGCTGCGTGAGGTAAGTGACTTCTCCAGAGGTGCGCGCTACTTTTCTTCGTGATTTTGTTTGACGTGTGCAAAGCCTATGACATTTTTGTTTCAGAATAGCACTGTTTTCATGTTTATGTTTTCCTCAGGTGAAATACGAAATAAATTAACTGCTGAAGATTTCCATAAATGACATAATTAAACCTAGAACTATTCGGCTACCAGCTCAATGTGAAGTCCTGCAAATGAGGGAATAATAAGAACGAAGGCGTGTTATATTTAAAATATGGGCCCATTGCTCACACTCAGATTCGTGAACCAGGGTTATCTATAGTAGAGGCAGTCAAGCTCTAAAGCAACACAATATTGTAGATATGATGGTGCAATGGTGGAGACTATTTATGTTACCCTCCAAAGTGATAATGGGATTTTGCACCAATCTTTGTACAACCCTTTTACTCTCAAAGGGAACCCTGAGCCAAAGCAGAGATGTTTACAACTCTAGTTGTTGCATATGACCAACTGTAGACTTGAGTCTGAAATGCAGCTCTGACATAAAGTTTGCAGCAGTCTGTCATGTTGGAGGTTATTCTATAACCTGCTGATTTGCAACTGGAAGTAACTAGATACTCAAACAATATTATCCCTAGCTGCGTCAACATAATATTGCATAACCCTGGCATCTGTTACTGCAGACATGTACGTATATCTCACAGGATAATACAATAATGTATGCCAATAATATATGTGCTGTATAGTACAGTAGCTGGTGAGTTGCCCTGCCTACCATGCTCATACACGACCCCCACACTGTGATGACAGGCAAAATGAATAAATAATCACTGACTCCCCCAATGTACTCTCAAAAACAAGTGAGCACTGAGCATACACATAAAACAACTGTAGTAACCCTGTTATACATAATTTAATGAAACTCTCAAATATCACAGAAAAACAAGCTGCTCTTAATTATTCTTCCATACAAACAAAATTCAAAATGTGTGTTCCAAAATATGATGATTTTTTTTGTTGCACAATGCTTGCATTCATGTTTTGTAATGAATACTTCCCAGTGTTCATTATACTGTAGATGGTGTGCCTGTTTAATATTTTTTAAAGTTTAACAAGCATCATCAGCGTTTAAGTTTAACTTTCTCTTTACCATTAACCTGTTACCTGTTACTTTCCCTTTTAATCTGATAGGTGCTGCCTCTGATATTGAAAGCTGTTATACTTCTAAACAGACATTTCCTCTACAACAAAAAGCAGTATTGTTTCATTTGAGCTCAATGTGTATTATTCTTACCTTGCTTGACTTTAATGACAGAGATTTGTATCACTATGGTGGGTGTGAAGTTTCACTCTTGTGCTTTACCTACAGAGTTGTTCCCAGAAGGCTGATGAAGGCAATGAAATAAAGTTTATGTAAAAATCCTGGTTGCAGATCATGCTGTAGAGGGGCCTGCCAGACACATTGAGTGGGAATTACAACGTTTATTAGCACATTTACAAGAGCGAGCGAAAAGTGAATCATGGAACTATTGAAATTGTTGAAATATCAAATGATACCTTACTATATATTTTAAAAATATTCAAATCACAGTATTGGTTAGTACTGTCTTAAATAATAGAATGGGATCTTTGTTTTGTCACAACCTAATATGAGGAATTTTTTGGAATTATCTTGTTTTTATAAATGTGTATCTCTGGTAAAAGTACCAACTGTTCCAGTGACATCACAAACCATACTACACACACACACACACACACACACACACACACACACACACACACACACACACACACACACACACACACACACACACACACACACACACACACACACACACACACACACACACACACACACAACATACCATGTATACATCACTTCAGGGGACATTACATTGACTTACATGCATTTCCTGGAGACTTATCCTAACTTTAACCATAACCAACACACACCTAACCCTTACCCTTAACCTTACCCTTACCCTAATCCTAAACCTAACCAAGTCTTCACGCTAAAATTAATGATTCCCCTCATGGAGACCTCCAATTTGTCCCCATAAGAGAGGCGAGTCCCCACACGTGACTGTGTAAACAGATTTAGGTCCCCACAAGTATAGTAATGCTAGGCCACACACACACACACACACACACACACACACACACACACACACACACACACACACACACACACACACACACACACACACACACACACACACACACACACACACACACACACAGTCGTCATATTACTTCAGATTCCTTTCCTTCAGGTCAAGCTCATGCTCAGTAGTGGTGTCTGTCTCAGTGTGTTTTTTTGTATGCGTGCACGAGTAGCCAATAGTTTTGGGATGATTTTGAACATGACTTTTGGTACATTTGAAGACGCATGCTTGCTCTCCTCTTATTGTCGCTACTGGTTGTTGCTACAGCTTACATTTAGATTTATCTTTTGACATGTTTTTGACTTTATTTGTCAGTTGACAGTTGATATTGACAGTAGAGAGAGAGTGAGGGACGATATGCAATACAGATCCTCATGTCAGTATGTGTCTTACGCTACTCAGGTATGACAAGGCCTCAGACTTACAGCTGTCAGAACTAATATAAGATGTCAGTTTGAACATTTCACATTTTGTATACTTGTTGTTGGCTTAAGGGGAGACACTACACATGCTAGAGTATGTTTTAACTTATAGGTAACATCATAAAGCTTCCCCAGTTGATTAAATATATTAATACATTTATTTTTGTATTACAAGTTTTATGAAATCTATAGACGTTAATAGAAAAACATAGTGAAATAACTGCTGATGTTCTCTTATAACTCTTACATTTCCCCAATGCATTGAAACAAACAATGTTTTGTCTCCAAACACTCTGCTTTCCACATAACACATGGACCCATTAGTCACCTTCTTTATTCAGATGCATGTGGCGCTGATGTGTGTCTCTCTCTATGGGGCCACAGGGCCTACAGAAATACTGAACAACTGTTAAATGTCATGCCAGAGCCCAATCATAAATTGATGCAAACACGGATGTTAAGTGTGACAACCCGAAACAGTCACATCCGTCCATCATACTGTACATTCCTTAGCTACAACTTCCAACCATAACCTAAGCCTGCATGAGGGTGTGTACCACTTGGATGAGCCTCCCATTGGCCCGCTGCAATATTCTGCTTCCTTTTGTTGTTGGTGTTTTTTTAGGGTCCCAATTTCTAAGGAAAACAGCGATGACTATAGCTACTAGATATTTTGCAGACACTGTAGTGGTTTAAGCCTGCACCAGTTTTGATATATTTCTTCCCCGACCTTTCGCTGGCAATGTGAGAACATCAACCTTTACCCTGAAAAATAAAGTGATGGATGTCCCAAACATCTTACTATTGTGTTCTCACCTCAATATTCTGAGAACAGATATTTAAAGCAATTTTTCTATATCAGTCTGTCTGTCTCTTTATGACACATGCCAAAGGAAACTCCAGATGCCCTCCCCCCCATACAGAAGGGGCTAAGTGAGGACTCAGTGTCCTGAGCCAGATGATAGCTGGCCAACTGTTGGCTGTAAAGACACAATGTACTTCTCATCCCTACTTCCAACAGTTTAAGGGGAAACTTTTCTCCTAAAAGTGGACGCTTAAAGTGCTGGTTCTTTTTCGATAGCACGTCCTAAAGTTTTCCCACACTACAAACCAGTTCAGGCAGAGTAACAGGCAAGGACTAGTTGGAAAGAAAAAAAACAGAGCTCAAAGGTCGATTTTCTTGTTTAAAAAAACAGCCAGGGAGAAAAAGAGTCTGATGAGGAAGTTGAGTTCTCCCGTGACAATCCTACACGCACTGCTCCCTGTCACAAGACTTGTTCATGACTATGCGGGCTGTTTGTGTGTGTCTATACACACACAAGTCATTGGTCCATTCATGCAAGTAATGGAAGTCTTGTGTACATCATGATATTATGGACTCTGCATGTGCTGTAATGTACTTATGCATAATGAAGGTCACTGGTGTGCAGGCTTGAATCCAGCCATGTGTGCAGGAGCCATTTTTGCACTGCCAGTAAAAAAACAGGATGCAGCAGTTGCTCAGAGCAGGAACAGGTGGCTGTCACTGTAAGTACAGCTAGTATATCATGGTGAACAGTTGCACTCATAGTTTGCACCCCTCCCTAATCTGAGCATACACAGGAGGAGAGATTCATCCAGGCTCTGGCACCAAGATAAAACTCCTCACCTCCACCATCGTCCCCAAACGTTCTCCTGAACCCTGAGTGTCGCCTCACTCTTCCTCAGACGTTGGATCAGAAGCTTGCGAGCTACTATAGCCGCAATCTGTGTTATATTATATTCGGGCTCCTTGCAGAAGGAAATATGACGCGCGAGGACAGAGTGGAGCGTTCCACGCGGCCAAGGGGGCAACCCGGGCACTGCGGACGGTTTGGAAGGTGCGTAAATGGCACAAAGCCGCATATTATGAGTCAAATCTAAATACAATACATTATGTGGTGAAGCTCAGAGTGCAATCTGTTGTTTATTATGACGTATAGGGTGAACGTAATGCGCACAGATAATCTTCCCCTTTCCACGAGGCTGCTAGTGTGCATATTGTATTTGATCTGATATTTTGCTTGCCATAGAAGGTTGTTTTTTAAGGTCAGAAAAAATCAAGAACACTTGGTGGAACCTTTTTCGTTAATGTTCCAGATATTGTATGCAGTTCGTTTTATTTCATTGGGACCTGGAAACACAGTGTGTACAGTATACACATACATACTTTTATATATATAATTTTTTTAACACATGCTTGTTGCAGCATATTTTCAAAACTGAATTTTCTTTATTCTCTCTAATCTCCTTTATTTGTACTGGTTGTGTTTGTGTGTGTTACTTCTTTACTGTATTCTCTAAACCTCTTTGAATAGCCTTTGTTTCCATTAAATGAAGGCACCTGTTCTGTGAGGGCACCAGCTGTTATTGAACAGTTTGAACAGACTCTAAAGCAACAGGTGCTGGCTGTCTGTACAAGGTGTCAAAAACACTTTGCATATTCAGAAGGATGATTTAAAAAAAAAAGATCGCTTTTAGTTAATTGGATAATGCATCAACTAGCAACTAATGAGGTTGCAATATTGTATTTGACACTTTGACAAGAAGAACCCTTGCTGGTATGAAATGTTTTCAAAAAGTAGAATAATTTAGACTGAAGTGACCAGAATTCAAGAAGTCTACATTTCAAATAGAGCAGATTTTCATGATTTTTTTTATGATGTTTGTCTCACACATATCTATCTGTTCATTGTTCTATTCAGTTACAGGCTGCGTTTTTATCACACCTTTTTTTCTTTTTTACTCCTCCACTTTGCTTTTCATCCTTTCTGCAATCCTTTCTGAAGCTCTAAGACACAATACTTTATATAGCAATGCAAAATTATTTGTCTGTTCCTTTATGGATGTTTAATTTTGATGCTATAATAAATAAGTAGAGTTGTTTTTCTTTATTTCAGATATATATGTCTCACCGTGTGGCATTGTGCCAGTCTATGACAACTGAGAGTTAGTTGTACTAAAACAGGACACTGCGGATCCTATCTCTGTTTACTTTAGTCACATTTAATGAATATTTTAAAGCTAAAGTATTGTGGATTTATAAAGCTGTGGTGGCTGGCTACAAATATTTGCTCAAGCAGCTGCATCTCCAAACAGAGAGCACTTGTACATAGCTATGCTTACTCGTAAACAATAGAATGGTGAAGGCTATTTTTTTGAATATCAGAAAGTAATGCTTTTCTTTTGTTGGTGTACCTATAGTTGAAGTTATGGTATTATAATGACAATAATAATGACTGGCACAATATAATCATTCTTATGTTGAGTCATACCATGTGGGGGATTATCTATTGTATTGCTGAAACAGTTAGTCGATTAACAATAATACTTTTTTTGTAATAATACTAGTAGTAGTGGCAGAGAGTTTTCTTAAATGTATCAGGCCTTTTACTATCTCTTGTCCATAAGGAAATCTTTAATACAATTCATTGGTTGCATCTCTAAGGCCCTTCAGATGTTTGTCCAGTATTGTGACATAATGTGTCTCTTCAAAATGGCTGCTATAACTTCATGTGCTGTTCTTCACAGTCATCATCGGCGAGCGGGAGCTGTTGTCAGGGCTCGTTGACATGCGTTCCCCCTGAGCTCGGCGGAGCCCCCCTCGGTGGTGTGGTGGAAGGATGCCAGTGCAGGCGGCCCAGTGGACGGAGTTCCTGTCCTGTCCCATCTGCTACAATGAGTTTGACAGCAGCAGCCACCAGCCCATCAGCCTGGGCTGCTCCCACACGGTGTGTAAGACCTGCCTCCACAAGCTGCACCGCAAGGCCTGCCCCTTCGACCAGACCCCCATCAGCACTGACATCGACCTGCTGCCGGTCAACTGTGCCCTGCTGCAGCTGGTTGGAGCTCAGGTGAGTACAAAAAATAAAGGCATGTTTGTGTCAAAACTTGTGACATGTTTGTGTGTTTTTGAGTGCTCATGATGTGTTTTACTTAGGTCCCAGATGTGCAACCGGTGAGCCTGAACAGTGCAGCAGAAGTTGAGAACTATGAGGCGTGCAAGGTGTGCGTTGAAGAGCTGGCTCTCTACCTGAAACCCATCAGCGGAGCAAAAGGTATGTGTGTGTGCATATCCGTTTTTGATGGCACATTTTAGTTTAATGTTTGTGGACATCTATAAAATGAAAATCTTGATGATAAATGTGCGTGGGCTACACTTTGCAACTTGGCATTTATCCTTTTCACACTTCTCATGACGCCTGAAATCTGTGCTTTTATGGAACTGAGGAAAAATTCAGCTTTCTGTGAAACCAGAAAATAAAGACGAACCTCGATGAAAATGACCAGCGGTTTCCGTTAGTTTTTTCGGCCAATTCTGTGACGTCGCTGTGCATCATCATTGCCGAATTTAATAATTTGGACAATTCTTATCATCTACAGTACTAGTTTACAAAGAAGTATAATGTAAAGTAAACTTTCCAGGCGTATCCATTCACTGAAGACTCCTCTAAAGCCACATAGCTACATAGCTGGTTGTAAAAGAGTTAAATACAGAGAAAATCAATTCAATAAAAAAATGACTGATAACTACAGTAATAGCCTCGTTTTTTTTTACCACAGAACTGTCACCTTCTGCAGGTGTGGCGACTCTGAGTCCCAGCGTGCTCAGCCGGCCGATGCAGAGGAAGCTGGTGACCTTGGTGAACTGCCAGCTGGTGGAGGAGGAGGGCCGTGTGCGGGCGGTGCGGGCCGGCCGGTCGCTGGGAGAACGGACCGTAACCGAGCTCATCCTCCAGCACCAGAACCCCCAGCAGCTCTCTGCCAACCTCTGGGCAGCGGTGAGGGCGCGGGGCTGCCAGTTCCTGGGTCCTGGTAGGTTTGCATAATCATACAGAACACATACATCAGTGATATAAACATCATACTCCATATAGATTTGTTTAGCAAGGGAATATGTGTCATTTTTAAGACATTTAATGCTATTTTAGGCAGATAGAATGTGTTAGTAGATCCAAAGGACACTTTTGTTAGCCTTTTGAAAGTAAGGATTAAGCATTTGCATCTTGTCTTTTAGCTATCACAAACTAGAACTTTGAAACACATTTTAAAGGTGACTAATTGGAAGTTTTTTAAGCACTTTGATTTAAAAGAGTTGCCTTGATGTTCACTTTTATAATGAATAACCTGTTTATAACTTCTAAGTAAGAGCCTCATGACACAAATTAAGAACAATTAAGTATACTCTTGCTTTTATTGCTGCTATCAAAATAAACCTGTAGGATTTATGACTGCTTTTTTGCAGTTTGGTGTAAATTCAGTTGACGGGATTCATTGTGTCCCTTCTGAATTTCCTCATTAGATGTCATCCGAAGACATGCAGCGATTTCTTCGGCCGTTAATACAGAAAAAAAACCTAGTGCGCTCTGCCTTGCTACGTTAGCTAGCTGTTTATATTTGCACTTCCAGGATAGTTGCACCTCCATGAAAATGGCGTATTTATATATATATATATGGCGCGTGTTGCATTGTGGGTAGCTCGTGACGTCACTGTGTGTGAAAGAATATCTAGTATAAATAGAAATTTAAATTATATGTGAAGTGTATTAGTTTCAGTTGTACATGGTCCTTGACAACTAAACCAATAAACTAAAGTATTTTAAAATATTATGGCAATAGAAATGTATTGTGGTTTTCTGGTTAATTTTTATGTTATCATTATTTACTTTGTCCCTTCTGGCAACATGACAAGGTACTCCTGTACTAGGAGCTGGTGCTGGTACCCGGTGTCCTGTGATGATCACTCATAGGGCAGATTCTGATTTTCATCATGATAACAGAATGAGTTCACTTGAGAGTTTGAGGACAACTCACCAGCTCTAACAACGTCTTTGTAGTACAATTAAATGCGTTGTTTGTTTGAATCTTTAGTTAACAAATATGTATTCTTTCCTGCTCCCACCATCCCCACCCCTTGTTGTCTTTCCGTTCTATTGTTCCTCCCCAGCTATGCAAGAAGACGCTCTGAAACTAGTTTTACTGGCTCTGGAGGACGGCTCAGCTTTGTCCAGGAAGGTGTTAGTTTTGTTTGTAGTTCAAAAGCTCGAGGCTCGCTTCCCCCAGGCCTCCAAAACCAGCATAGGGCACGTGGTGCAGCTTCTCTACAGGGCCTCCTGCTTCAAGGTACTGGCAACATGATTGAATATATTATACATACATTCACACCAAACACATACATATGTGCACTTGCAAGGACATGTGAGCAAGCTGCACAAATTCTTTATTAAATATAAAAAATCAATTATTCCTGTTCTTATCTGCGTCAAACTGAACAAAAGATCCTCAGTTTGCTGCGGCCCAAAAAGAACCCAAGACATAATAAATTACCTCATTAAAACAAGGATATTTAAATAGATCCTCATTTACAACTACATATTATTACTGCAGAGATAGTTCTCCATATAACAGTATCATTTTTACACGTCAGCCTTTCCATAACATTTATTCTGGTCTGTTTAAGTAAACTATTTCCACCTATTTCTAACTAGTTAACTAAATGAGTTGTTTTTTAGTGTCTGCTTTGGTAATCCCCTTTCAGCTGTTCATTGAGCTCCACTGTAACTTAACCCTGTCTGACATTTAAGTATTATTACTCCCTAAATGGGTTGCCCAAACTACAAATATCTTATATTACATATCGGATATGGGTGTCTGTGTACAGTATGTTACTCTGTGCATGCGTGTATTTCTGTGCGTGCTATCTGATGACAGACATTGCTGGTAGGGCAGACATACCAGCTATCTGCTTCTGATGTAACAGCGGTCTATATTTGCCCTCACTCTTACCCGCTTTGAAAGACAGAGACAGACAGCTCAGAGATGCAGAGGAAGATAAATCAAAGTGCAGGAACAGAGAAAAAACAGACAAGAGGAAGGACAGCAGCACGAGCTCCAATAATGATGAAATCTGATTCTGTTTGATTATATCTTTGACCCGCTAGCACTGCATAATTGTAAGTAACACGGCTGGTTATGTGTTGTTGTCTTATGATGATTACTCATAGGGCAGATTCTGAGAAGGGGAAATCCCTTTCTATGATCTGAAATGAGTTTACAAGTCTGAAGACACCACATACTTACTTGCAGTGGTGAACCGTGTCTATCACAACTGGACCTTCTGTAGACACACACACCCCCCACCGAGAAGGACAAACAAATCAACGTAACACTGTAATATTACAGATCAACAACACAGATACGATTCTCATTTATTCATTTTATATACATTTTATTTATATAATTAAATCGAGTTTGTTTTATCTGAGTGTTCCAGGGTATTCTCTGAATACCTTGAAGGCCCTGACGGTTCGCCACTGCTGACTTGTTGGTTGGCAAATTGAAAACATTGAATTGCCAAAATATACACGGTAGTTGCGAATTAGTCTTAGTTTCAATTCTTCCTTATGTTTCTCCACACTTTCTGCCTCTCAATTCCTCCTTCTTTCTTATTCCCTCTCGTCTGTCAGGTGACTAAGCGGGATGAAGACTCCTCGCTGATGCAGCTGAAAGAAGAGTTCCGAACGTACGAGGCTCTCCGGAGAGAACATGACGCTCAGATCGTCCACATTGCCATGGAGGCGGGACTACGGATTTCCCCCGAGCAGTGGTCCTCTCTGTTATACGGAGACTTGGTCCATAAATCACATATGCAGTCCATTATAGACAAGGTACCAGTATGATTCATATGCCCATCATTACTAAGAGGCTCTTTCCACTACAACTTTCTGCTTTCATTATTAAACCCACTTTTCAAATTTCAAATGGTGGGTACAGTATAACAAGTCTCTGGCGAACAGAAACAGGAGAAATACATTCATCTTATTATTTTTAAAGACCCACTCTCTTCTTCTATCCTCTGCCTCAGTTGCAGTCTCCGGAGTCGTTTGCAAAGAGCGTTCAGGAACTGACCATCGTACTTCAGAGGACAGGGGACCCCGCCAACCTCACAAGTCTTAGACCACACCTAGAGCTGCTCGCCAACATAGACCACAACCCAGGTACGTCAGTTTGTTTATCAGCATTCACCTGAATGAATGCTAATGACTCTGAGTGATTCATATGCTTGTCATGTTCCAGAAGGATTAATGAGATTGAAAAGTGATGAATACAGGCCCCTTCTGACAGTCATATACCAAATTGCTAATTAAAAGCATAACAAAAGATTAAAACTACACATTCATCTTGGGTTAAATATGTATTAAGGAAAGCACAACACAAATAAATGAGTTAGCATATCTAGTATAAATAGACATTTTAATTATATGTGAAGTGTATTAGTTTCAGTTGTACATGGTCCTTGACAACTAAACCAATAAACTAAAGCATTTTAAAATATTATGGCAATAGAAATGTATTGTGGTTTTCTGGTTAATTTTTACGTTATCATTATTTACTTTGTCCCTTCTGGCAACATGACAAGGTACTCCTGTACTAATTATTCTTTTACGTAGCTTCTATTGCAAAATGTAAAATGGGTGCAATAACTTGAACCTGAAACCTACCTGAAATAAAGAACAGTTTATTACATTTTCATGCTAAAGTTAGCGTTTAGCTTAAAGCATCGCTCTGCCTTAGAACAGCCTCACAGAGCTGCTAGCAATGGCTGAATACCCTCTTAGACTTTTTACATTTTTCTCTTAACATGTTACACCATTAAATATGTTATTTTCTTTTAATGTAAGTTTTTTTGGTTAGCATACGGTATAACGGCTATAATGACAAAAGTGCATTTGTCTTCATCCAAAAAACAAGTCAGCTAGAGAGTTAATAATACCTAATACTAGCTTTGCTGCTATCTGAGTGTTTGAGTGAGAATCTCTTGTGAACAGAGTGTGTGTGTGATCTGTGTACAGATGTCCCGGCACCATCATGGGAGGAGCTGGAAAGTGTGATGCTAGCTGTGAAGTTGGTGGTCCATGGACTTGTGGAATTCATACAGAACTTCAGCAAAAAGAGCCATGACACTCCACAGGTACACTGCCGAAAGGGAAATATTGGAAAATCCATTGATCTGAAGAAAATGTGAGCAATATTAAACATAACTTTTTCCAAGTGGAAAAAGGTCTAGAATAGTAAAGAAGAGAAGTGCAGTTGCTCCATCCTGGCACCCTGGAAGGCCATTGAGCTGCAAGATAAGAAGTTCAGGGTCTAGCTATATAGGCTTCTAAAATAGTTAAAGCGACATTACCCTGCAGTTATCACAGCAATAAAATACCTAACATCAGATAATACAGCTGCAAAGACCAAACTGTTTTTTTATATTGCATACAGTATAGTGGAGTGAATAGAGGCTTTAACTCTTTTTTGGTTCATTATCATTGTTTATCATATACATTACATTTCATTTAGCTGACGCTTTTATCTAAAGCGACTTACCAATTACAGGGACATTCTCCCTGGAGTAACTAAGGGCTAACTGCCTTACTCAAGGGCACACTAGTGGTGGTGTTCCTGGCGGGATTTGAACTCACAACCTTCCGATCTTCACCCCACCTCACTATCCATTAGACCACCACTATCCCGTACATACTGTACAGAGAGGTGGAAAGCAAACTTTAAAATTGTGTAGGGCTGTGTATTGGCAGGGTTAGGGGTTAGGGTTTGGCAAACAATTG